CAAAGCTCGCCGTAGAGACGGAGGCTCCTGCCCGCGCTGCATTTCTCGCGGGTCTGGCACCGGAGGAAGGGAGGAAGCGGGGCTGTCGTGACGGGGCTTGGCTTCAGCTCTGCTGTTAGGCACACTTGAGAACCAAATCGGTGAAAAGCCCGTGGCTGTCATCTCTTCCCAGCAGGGGCTGGGCGCCATGCTGCCGTGGGGCAGGCTGGCCCCGAGGTGCCTCCGTTCCTCCCGTGGCAGGGCTGGGGGACCCCTGGTCACCGCTGGCCGGCAGTGGGAGCACGGGAGGGTGAAGCTCCACATTTCACACACACTTTGCCCCTTGCGCGGGGCCATCCCCGGGGGCAGCGGGGGGCTGCTCCCCCAGCCAGCCTTCCCAGGAGGTGCTCCCGGGTTTGTGCTGCTGCCGCTCTTGCTCCTCCTCCCCTCTTTTTAAAGCTCAGCACTCAGAGCAGCCATGCTTTTGATGCTGACTTGCCAAGGCTTAACTCATTACGCGGATGGATATTTTTTATATTAGACTCCGGGGGAAAACGGCTGATTGTGTTTCCCTTTCACCCGAGGAAAACTGTGGCACTCCATCCGCGATGCAGGGAGGGAGCACGGTTGAGCCCTGGCGAGGGGAGCCGGGCTAGGGCTGTGCTGGCCCGCTCCCGGGCCTGCCACCGGCCCACTGGGTGACCTTGGGCAAGTCGCTCTGCCGTCCATGCCTCAGTTTCCCCATCTGTAAAATGGGGATAATAATACTGCTCTACCTCACAGGGGTTGTTGTGAGGCTTCCTTGGCTAATTTTTGTAACATGCTTTTTGATGCTCGGATGAGGGGTGCCACAGAAAGCCAGAGGGTCTTTGCGAAGGGTACCCGCAGTGGGGACGCGGGCAAGCCAGCCCCCTTCCCGAGGGCTGTAGCGGGACGTGAGACATGAAGGGAGCGAGCTGATCCTACAACTGAAGTTGACAAAGTCCTTTACAATGTCATTTGTTCCCTGTTTCTCAGCTATTTGTGGGTGTCTGCCAGTGAAGCTGCAGGACAGGCAGCTCCCCCGCCCCACTCAAAATTGGGAATCAGAGCTGAGCCGTGACTTCCCCGGCTACGGGGGCTCGCACCCCGACAGAGGTGCCGGAGTGGAAGGTGGGCGAGGGAGGATTTGGTGAGTAGGGCAAAGGAGGAAAGGTTAGGCGCTGCCTTCCGCGGAGACTGCCGTGGGAGAGGTCGGACCCCCCTGCCCGCTCGTGGGGGCGGTGGTACGGAGAGCACCCCGCAGCCCTGGCCCGGGTGCGTGGCTGGCCGGCCGACCCCCGCTGGGCTCGGGGCACCCGCCGGAGCGGGGCCGTGCGTTTGGGACAAGGGACGGGTACAGGCACCTGACCCCGGGCAGGTTTCCTGGGTGAGACGGGCAAGTGGGAGTCGGGTCCCTGGGAGCCCGATCCCCTCTCTGAGGGTCTGTGAGACCCTCGGGCGAATGGCTTGACTTCTCTGTGCTTCAGTTTCCCCGGCTGTGAAATGGGGACGGTAAATCTGACCTACCTCACAGGAGGTGTGAGGCTCCCTGCATCGCTTTGCAAAGTGCTCCGAGATCCTGGGGCCAAAGGCGCTCTGTAAATGCACAGGATCGTTAACATGCCATCGTCACGCATGAGAGTCTGGGCAGGAAGGCGTGAGACCTCCCGGGTGCCCCAAAAGACCCCCCGGCCCATCCTTGGAGGAGACCTCCCGTGGGAGAGGACAGCGAGGGGAGGAAGGGATTTTTTTAAAGAACTATTTTTAGCTGTCCTAACCTGTTGGCCTTTTTTAGACGGTATCTGGACACAGTTCCACTTACCACAGGATATGCAATGCTGTACTATGCATGGATTACTCCTCTGGCTCGAAGGAAAATTCAACATAACCAGTTTTTGAAACTCTATACGCGTATGTGTGTGGGTGCCGTACGCAGCGCAGGGGGCTCCGGGGGGGGGGGCTGGCTTGGGAGCCCGCGCCGGCTCCTGCGGGGTCCCTGCTGGCACAAGGGCTTTGGGGGGTCTGCAGAGGCTTCCCGGGGCGTGCGGGGGAGAAGGCCCTGCCGGAGGCGCGTGCTGCGACAGACACGTATGTGTATAAGCATATATAAGTACATGTAGGAGATACCTGCGAATAAACACAGGGTGTGTACAACATGCTGTGTGATGACTTAGAGCACATTTTTGCACTGTAGAGATCTAGTTAGCTTCGCCTTGAATGAAATAAAGTTTATGTTTACTAGAGAAACTGGCTCTAGTTTGCATCGCTGTGGGTGTCGATTTAGGCTTCCCGGGAACCGTGTGCGCGTTGCCCACTCGAGCCCCAGGGCTGCGGGTGCCTGGAGCCAGCCCGGCGAGGGCCACGGGACGGGGCTGCAGTGCCGCCGTTGCAGCGGCAGTGTTTGCGGGGCGCTTGGGGCTATTTCCCAGCACAAAAGGCTGTCTCAGTGCAGCTGCCTGGAAAGCAGCATCCCTCGCTGCCACGTTGCACGGAAAGGCCCCGATTTCTACGCCAGACAAAGTTAATTTAAAATAATGCCTAACGTCCCTGTTTGTTTATAGGAATTTAAACTGACCCCATCCTGATCAGCTTGTCTGACTGCGTGGCCGAGGTCCACGCACCGCTTTTGTCCGTGTGCGCAGGAACAGTTTGTTCACATGAGCCCACAAATAAACCCTGCCTTGCACTGGGAAAGCAGCCCCGGCATACAGCGCAGGGTATTGCCAAAAATACCCCTGCAAGCAAGAGGGACAAAGCCTTCAGAGGCTGTGTGAAAAAACAAATACTTTCTTTTAACGGGGATACTCTACAGCGCAAACATAATTTCTCTCTGTATAACAGCAGCGAGCAAACAGCAGCTTAGCCCCACAGGAGCCTTCCTGCCACAGCAGGGGCAGCACGGGGCAATAAATTAATCTCTCTCCGGAAGGGAGCTTGAGCCGGTCAGATTCCTTCACGGTGTCGGTGGACGTCGCTCCGAGTCGCCCTTTGCCTCCTTGGCTGGTCTCTGGCGCGCTGAATCACAGGCTGCCAGTGAGGGGTCGGGAGGCACCGCTCACCTTCTGTGGCTTGAGATCTGTTTCCCAGCCGCTGCGGGAGCCGAGACGGCCAAGCGTGTCAGTCGGGCTGGAGAGGGAGGCTGGGGGAGAGGGGAGGGAGCAGTCCTGGCAGGGCTCAGAGCTCCGACTGGAAGGAGAGAGAGGGAGAGTTGCGATGGCAAGCTTAGAAGGGCAGCCGAAAGCAGGATGCAAAGAGAGTTGTGTCCTTAAGGAGCTGGCTCAGCTCCCGCGCAGCCCCGCAGCCTGCCCAGCAGAGACGCTGCGCTCCACCGGCACGGTTCCCCTCAGTGCAGAGCCACCGAGGGGGCCCTGACCCTTCCCCACCGCCCCCCCCCAAAACCTGTGTGGTAGCGCAGCCAAGTGTGTTGCTGCAGCGGTGTTGGCAGTATGGCACTGACCCTCCGGACAGCGTAGATCCAGTTGAGGTAGGCACGGACGCTGGTGTAGACACCGGGCGTGCTGGGGGTCCCGCAGCCCTGGCCCCAGCTGACGATGCCCCCCACCTGCCAGTGGCTGCCCGCGTACTGCAGGGGCCCGCCGCTGTCCCCCTGCCAAGGACAACCCGTCTGAGCGGGGCTGAGGAGCCCCGGCCCGGCCCCCATCCCGGCGGGGGCCGGTGCTCACAGCTGCAGTCTGCGGCCATTCCCAGGAGGATATGGATATGGACCCCCCCACCTTGCAGGTGTCCACGCCGCCTTGGGGCAGGCCGGCACACAGCATCCGCTCGGTCACCTCCCCATGGTAGGTGGCCAGGTTGCAGCTCTCGTTGTCTATGAGTTTCACCTCCGCCTGCTGCAGGGTCTCCGACAGTTTGCCTGTGTGAAACGTGGCCGCTCAGAGGGTTCCCCCAGTAGCCCACCGGCCCCGTCTCCTCCTGTGAGCAGTGCTGGGGGCACCGTGCTGTCCCGCTCACCGTGCTCCTGCGTGTAGCCCCAGCCGATCACCCACAGGGATGTGCCTGGCACCAGCTCCTCATCGAAATAGGGCAGGCAGATGGGCTTGCGGCTCTCTGGAGGGGAGAGGAGAGGCGCAGGAGATGTCTGGGGAGGCTCGTGGGGAAGGTGCCCCTGCCCGGACCGGCCAGGGCCGTGCACTGTGCTCTCAGTAAGACACTGCTCACACGTGGCCCTCTCCCACCGCCTGGCGAGCTTTGCCTTTGCGAGCTCTTGCTCCGAGGAGGCGTGTGCCACCTCTCACCTGAGACACGCAGGGGAGACCGCAGCTTCACCAGGGCAATGTCGTTGTCCTTGGGGGATGCGGGCGTCACCTCGGCCAGGAAGACCTTCTCTACCGCGAGGGTGGCGGTGCCTGAGAGGAGGTCGGAGCCAGCCTTCACGCGCCAGCTCTGAACAACGGGGTTGTTCCTGTGCACAGACACGTCTGTTACTGCTCTCCTCTTTCCCCTCCATGACTGTGCTGCGGGGACGGGCAGCAAAGCCCTCCACACTGCCCTGCTCGGCGTCGCTCAGCTGCGCCGGACCGAGGGGCACAAAGCCCTGGGCAGACGTGTCAATTACGGGCCATTTAAGCAACGCGTGGCTTAAACCCAGAGGGACTTGAGGAGCCGAGCCGGCCCTGGCACGTCGGTGCTGGCTGGCTGGTACGCCGCGGCGGGGAGGCTGCCGACTCACTTGAAGCAGTGCGCTGCCGTCAGGACCCAGCGGGGGTCGATGATGCTGCCCCCGCAGATGTGCTCCTTCTTGTACTGCAAGCTGACCTGCCACGGCCAAGCCTCGATGGCGGCTGGACTGCCGCCCAGCACGCGCGTGGTCCGTATGCTCTCCCCGCAATCTTCTGCCCGGCAGCGGAGCGGCGGCAAAGCAACATGTTAGCTGTGGCGGCGGGGAGAGAAAGAGCACCCGCTCTGCCCTCCTCCATCCTTGGGGCTGAGCGGGGATGGAGGCTCCCGCGCCTCCCAGGGAGGGGAGCGTGGCTCAGGTGCGTCACCCCCCCCGTGACACTGCCTGTGTCACCCCTTCCTGGGCTGCTCGGCACACCCCCTTTTGTTCTCCGTTTGCACATCGTCCCCGGGCTTGCTGAAATGGGTTCAGCCGCTCCTTGCCTTCTCCAGCCCACCGGGCAGATTAGTGTAATCAGGGTAATTCATCAGCAAAAGTAAACCCATTCGGGCAGGTGGTTAAGCCTCTCTTAGGTGTTTCGTTTCTGGGGGGGGTTATATTGGCTTAACAGGAAGGTTAGCAGTAATTAAATCCAACTTTTCTCATGCCAACAGCGTGGGAACTGGGGAGGGCCAGGGCTTGGGCCAGCACCGAGCCCTCGCGGCCGCAGCGCAGCACACGGGGCCGTGCCAGGAGCAAGGACCCAGAGTGGCATGAGGCCCTGCGTGCCCGCAAGGTGCGAACAGCGTCATGATACTTACCGGAACAAAAGAGTGAAACAACCCGGCCAGAGAGGCATTTCCTGGAAGAAGGAGGAAAAGGGCTGGATTCGGCCGGGGAGAGGCTCTGGCTCCGTGGCCGGCCACGGTGGGCTCCCATGCAGGGCGAGGGGCATGGTGGCCACCTCGGCACAGCCCCACCACTCACCTGCCCGGCTCGGGCATCTGCAGGCTGCCGTTGCTCAGCACCACCTCGCGGGGAGGCAGGGGCTGCCCTGCGCCCACCTCCGCTGCCCGGAACGTGGGGGTGCTGAAAGACACGGGGGGGGGCACGGGTCAGGACGAACCCCCCGGGGGGCACAGTGCCAGGGATGCCACCGATGGGGCACCCATGCTGGGAGAGGACAGGCACTGGTGTCTGAGCGCCTCCAGGAGCCTGGAAACTCGGTGGGTTTGGCTCAGACTGAGCCACAGGTGGTATAACCCCGTTGTGAAGCTTTAGGGAGTGAAGCTTTACAAATTGGTCCTGAATGTTTGCTTACGGCCCCAACAAAGAGCTGGGCAGACAGGGAGGAAGCAGGAGCTTAGGAAGGGAACATGGACCTGTGCCAGTGAGCAAGGGAAAGACCCCGTAGAAAAAGGGGGTTCCTCGGGACAGGGACACGGGGATGCCAAAGGGGGACCCGCCACAGCCCTGAAGGACGGGGGGCAGGAGGGGGGGACAGGAGCGTACTGACGGAAGGGACACCACCGCCTGCTATTCCAGGAGGTGTGCGGCAGGGGACATCAGGGGTGTCCCTGCTGTTATGACATCTGGGGACTGTGCTCATAGCCTCAATCCCTGATTTTTGGAACCGGAAAATACCATTCTGGGCTCAGTCTAGGCTCCCAGAGGGGCTCAGACACCAGAACCCGTCTTCTCTTTACAGAATCACAGAATCTCCTCGATTGGAAAAGACCTGTAAGATCATCTAGTCCAATAATTAACCTAACACTGACAAGCCCACCACTCAACCATGTGTCTAAGCACTATATCGACACGACCCTTAGAGGGGGTGGGAGGCGGGCAGGGTGCCCATGGGCTGTCCCCCTGTGGGGACAGAGCGGGGGACACGGGGCACCGTAGTGGGCTGACATGGGAAGCTGCCAGGGCTTCTAGCACAGAGACCAGCCGGCTCCTGGGGACGCGCGGAGTGCTCTGTGTGGTGGGGATGGACTGAAACCATTAGTGCAGAGGTCCGAGTGCTTTGTAAGTAAATGCAGCCCCACTCAAAAAGAGCTTTTATGGGAGAGGGATAGACAAAGCAGGTGAGAGAGGCGTGGAGAAAGCAGTACCTCCAGTAGCCCATTTGCTCACAGGCGGCTTTTGCCAGCACCAGGTTGAAGTGGTCGTGGCAGATGCAGGACCAGGCTCCGGTGTGTCTGTTAAGCACCTGCAGGATGGATCTGTCCTTGGAAACACGAGCTGGAGACAGACACAAGGTCAGCTTTCTGGCAGGCGACTTCAGCAGGCGGAGGCTCGCTGCAGCAGCCCGGCCCCTCCGCAGCGCGAGCAGGGTGTCCTGGACTCACCCCCAGGTGGTGGTCCCTCAGGGACCCACTGGGGACAGTTGGCCTCGTCGTCCCCCTGCAGACAGTCCACCTGCCCGTCGCACACCTGCTGCAGCGGCACCAGCTTCAGGGGCTGCTTGCAGAAGAAGTAGTGGTGCTCCAGGTACACCTTGACTAGAGAGAAAGGGGAGCCCAGCGCTGAGCTCGTGCCGCCGGGTGGGCTCAGGGCTTGCGCTTGGGGGCCCAGCGAGAAGGTGGCAGAGCCGGTCCTGGCTGAGCCCTGGGTCCAGAGCCGTGTTTGCCGAGCCGTGGCTGTGCCCAGCAGCGGTAGGAGGAGGGAGGAGAGGAGAGCGGGAGCCGTACCCAGGAACCCGACCGCAACCAGGCAGGCGAGGCAGAGCAA